TTACCATTTATGTATTTAAAGCTCTCTATCAACTTGAGAGGGTCTGTCAAGGACCAAATCAATAACCTTGCTACTGAACTTTCTATAATTGACATACCTGTTGTTCAGAAAACCATTTGAATTGGTTAACATTAAAGACACATGAAAGAATCATTTGCTCTTATCAGACTTGGAAATGTGAAAAGGTTTTCATATGTATTTTCAGATGGCAGATATTTACATACTCAGTTCATAAACAGATGCTGGTGAATATGGAAGGTGGGGGGTGGGAGAGGTGTGATGGTAACGATGAAAATTTAGTGCATATTTCTAATCCCCAACACCATTCACTTGAGGAGTCATCTTAAAATACTGTATCTTGTTCTGAGATTTTTCTTACCATAAAATTTCCACTACATTGAAAGTGATATAATTGATGATTTTCTTTATCTAATAAGAACTAAATATAATCTCTCAGTCAAAGATTATTATAAAGCACAGTAGTGAAGTGTCTTTTCCATACCTGGAAAAAATCATGTTAAATCAATTACAGAGAACTAGAAAGGCATCAGCCACAAATACCTAAATTATTTTCTTGATGATTTCAAGCTATTTCCCATTTGACATGGATCTTTTCATTCTAGACCATTGATTTTATTTACATTCTGAGATCCAAGGATTTGTGTCTTTTTGTAAACAAGATTAAAATATTAATGTGGTCTATACAGAGCCAGAAATTATGTTTTAGGAAATCCTGAACTCCTTTTATTCATTGTAGTGTATGTCTCCTAATATGATTTGTGTAAAGTCATTTTATTACATATTTCTTTGCTGTTAGGTTGCCTTCAAAGGATTTTTTTTGTAACTCCGGAGACAGATAGGAGGAAAAAACCCAGCAGTGTTACGTTACTAGGACAACCCCTAGGAAAAAGACATGTGCAACATTTCAGTGACTTTATTACCCTTTCCATTTTATTTCTTTGAGTCAACAAATAATGGGGTCACTAGTCTTAGTGGCAGTTTTGCCACTTTTTTAAGGTTTTTTTCTTAAGATTTTATTTGTCAGAGAGAGCACAAGCAGGGGGAGCGGCAGGCAGAGAGTGAAAGAGGCTGCCTGCTGAGCAAGGAGCCCAAATGCAATGCGGGACTCAATCCCAGGACCCTGAGATCCTGACCTAAGCCGAAGGCAGACGCTTAACCAACTGAGTCACCCAGGCGTCCCAGTTTTGCCACTTTTAAAAAGATGTATGCATGAGTACAAATGCAGAATGCTGGGGAAGTGCCTTGTACATCTTTTCTTCCCCACATCCTTTTATGATTACACTGGCAGGCAGAGGACAGCTGGGAACCCTTTCTGGGCACTCCCCTCTCTGCACCACCTGTCTCTGGAACCCATGTGCAGCAACCAGCCTTGAGATGATAGGGAGGGCCAGGGCGCAGAAACCTTAGAGTAGCAAAGACTTAGAGGAAGGTGGGAAAGGTTGGCGGTGTGACTGACTATTTATGATACAGAAAATGCACAGGGACCGGAGGGAGGGGGCGGCACAAGGGCTGTGGGGCTCTGAGAGCCAGGGTGAGACATTGTACTTTATTCAGGAGGCAACAAAGAGACGATGAGGCTTTACAAGCAGGGAGGAGATGGTGGGGTGTATTTAGGCACTGTGTAAAGTGGTTAAGGGGGAGAAGTTAAGAAGGCTTATTAGACGAAGAGAAGTGTAACCAAAGAGGAACATTGTGAGTTCATGCAAGAGCATCTTTTCCGAACCACAGTGGGCGTGAAAAGGAAAGGGTGGATTCAAGACACAGAACTTAGGACTTGGCAGCTTGGAGGGACTAGATTTTGTTTAAAGGAGGAAAGCTGGGGCTCACATCCTTGCTCCTTCTATCTCTGCTTCCACGTCTGCTAAGGCTACATGGCCTTGGATGAGCCCTTCTCATCTTGAGCATAGTCCCTATTTGTAGTTAGGAAATTCAAATGCCTATAGCAAATGAGACAGTACATTATAAGTGTATGTAGGCCCTCAACATTATACAAATTGTTATTATTGGATGTGAGGTTTAGGGAGGATTAAAAAAAGAGCCTAAAATCTGCACACAGATGTTTGTAATAGCTTTATTCATAGTTGCCCAAACTTGGAAGCAAGCAAGATATCCTTCAGTCAGTGAATGGATAAATAAACCGTGGTCCATCCAGACAGTGCGATATTATTCAGCACTAACAAGAAATGTGCTATCAAGCCACGAAAAGGCATGGAGGAAATTTAAGTGCATATTGCTAAGTGATGAAGCCCATCTGAAAAGGTGCCACATTGTATGATTCCAACTATATGATAATCCGGAAAAGGCAAAAAACTAAAACTATTGAGACAGTAAAAAGATCAGTGGTTGCCAAGGGTTTGGAGAAAGGGAGGATGAATAGGCAGACAGAGCATAGAGAATTTTTGAGGGCAGTGAAACTACTCTGTAGGATACCGTGATGATCGCTACATGCCATTCCTCATACATTTGTCCAAACCTATAGAATGTACCACACCAAGAGGGAGCTATAATGTGAACTGTGGACTTGTGGACTTTGGGTGATTATGATATATCAGTGGAGGTTTGTCCATTGTTACCAAAGGTACCGCTGTGGTGGGGGGTGTTGATGTTGGAGGAGTCTGGGGCTGTAGGGAGAGCGAATGTGGGAATTCTGTGCACTTTCCACTCAGTTTTGCTGTGAACCTAAACTGCTCTAAAAAATAAATCCTATTAGGAAAAAAAGTCTAAGATGATTCCAAGATCTTAAGCCTTCTTGACTAAAATAATAGCATTGCCATTCACAGGAGGAGGAGTGTTGGGAAAAGAAACTGGTTTCGGAGAAAGATGATAAATTCCAGTTGAGGTATTTTAAGTCCAGGGGTTTGAATAACAATCATGTGGAGACCCAGCAAGCAAATGAAATGCAGAACTAGATCATACTGTTGCGCAGTCATGGAGCGCAACGGTCGAGAAAGAATTCTCGAGATGCTGTATGGTACAGCTTCGTAAATTTATTTAAGTAGCACGGGGACAGGACCCATGGGTGGAAAGAGCTGCATGTTTGCTGAATGCAGCTGGTCATTATATGCTTAGCGCTCAAGGGGGAGGGCATGTGCAGGGAGTATTAGATCCTAAATATTTCTTTGAATTTCTACACATAAAACTGCTTTCACGGAGCACCTGGTGGCTCAGTTGGTTGAGCGTCTGCCTTCAGCTCAGGTCATGATCCCAGGGTCCGGGG